AAGGCAAATTAACTTTTTGTAATTAACTGATAATGCTGTACTCAGGAGACCCAGGATTACAGATCTGTTTATTAGGCTCAGAAAAAAAAATCACATCATTAGACTCAAAGCCTGAATCAGCTCGGAGCTATACCATCAGACTCTAAGTCTGACTCAGATCCCCAGTTTTCCTCTCAGTCAGGGCTCCCAAAGGAGTGAGAGGCCACTAGAATATCCCATCCTACAACCTCAACCTGGGCATGATTCCCTCTGTTCTAATCCTGCTTCCTTCTTCCACAATATCATTGACCCAGGCCATCCCAGACTATAGAGCAGCTCTCCCTCCTATAATTCCCACCCCCGGCGATACTCCTGGTATGATTCTTTGGCAGCTTTTCACGGACAGTTTCTTGATCTCTCTTCCTTTTGTGAACATTGGGCAAATCATGCAACCTTTCTAAGCTTCAATTTCTTGTTTGTAAAATGGGCATTATCTCACAAGATTGTTATAAAGTCCAGATGAGCTATCATATGGATAGTGGTTTTCTTTCTTCTAACCTGAAGCCTCGAAGCCAAACAAGGCCCTCTAGGTCCTCAATTGCTGCCATTTGACTGAATCGAAACTTCACAGAACAAATCCCCTTAATAAACGGATTTGTTCTGTAAAACTTAAAAAAACTGCACGCAAAGACCTAGAAGGCCACATGTGGGCTTGGGGCTGCAGGCTCCCCATCACTGAAATAGGAGGCCTAGCTATACTTTTTTTTGGTATTTCCACAGCATCTGGAACAGCGTCTCACACACAGTAGATACTGAATAAATGAACTTAGGAGCTAAGTGAACTTGAGAAAGTTCCTCTCTGAGTTTCCATTTCCATAACTGAAAAATGGGAGTGAGGGTGGGGTGGGTAGACCTGATGATATCTAAGATCCCCTCCAGCCCTAAAATCTTAAAATCTTTAGGGCACAGTAGATAGTGGCAGACCTGAAGTCAAGAAAACCTGAGTTCAAATCTAGCCTCCAGACACTGTGTGGCCCAGGGAAGGTTACTTAATCTCCTATAATGATAGCACCTACCTCACGAGATTGTTGATGAGGATCAAATGAAATGCCATATGAAAAGCAGTTTGCAAACATTAAGGTGTTATGTAAGTGCTAGCCATCGTTATTATTATTGTTGTTGTTATCTAAAATTCTATGTGTTTTTAAATTTTGATCTATCTAGATTCCACTTCTGGGGGAAGTACTCTTAATAAATGACAGCATTAAGGGAAGTAAACTTGGCCCACAGCTCCAGGGGGAGCACAGGGATCAGAGAGATAAGCAGACTAGAGAATGTCTGAACGGTTTTTCCAATTTGCCAAGCAAGTGGCGATCACTCCACGGGGCAAACGAACCTAGTCGAGGCCAAGTAAAGAAAGACTTTAAAAGGTCCTGCTCTTAAAAAGCCTTCTAGCTACTCAGAGAAGCAAGAGAAACAGGAATGAATGTACGTACAAATAATGATAATGACATGTCCCCCCCACCCCCATCCAAACCCTGGCCTACATGGAGGCCCATTTCTGCCTTCCTTCCTTCCTTCCTTCCTTGACTACTGAAGTCCAAAGTGATCTCACCCTTTCCTGAATTTTTACAGGATTTATAGTCTACACCACACAAACTGCCCTTTAACTATTAATAATACTGCATTCTCTAATGGTTTCTTTTTTACGGCTCTAGCACCAAGATGGGCACAGAGCAAACATCCATATGGAGGGACAGGAGATTTAATAGCCTTAGTTCTAATGCCTTCCCTGTGTTAATTATCTCCAATTTAACCCATAAATATCTTGTTGGCACAGAGCTGATTGAACATTGTCTCCCCCATTAGGTTTGAGCTCCTTGAGGTCAGAGACTGGTTGTGGAATTGCTGTTTTCTCGCTTTTCTTTGTATCCCTAGCTGTTAGCAAAGTACCCATCACATATTAAGCTTACTTAATTAACATTAATAATCAATTATTTAATAATATTAATAAATTAATATTAATAATTAAACTTAATAAATGCTTGTGGACTGATTTACTGTCAAAGTGTTTTACATGTCATCTCATTTGAACCTCACAATAATCCTCTGAGGTGGGTGCTATTGTTATCCCCATTTTACAGATAAAGAAACTGAGGTTTCTAGTGTGTTAAGTTACTTACCTAGGGTCATTCAGTTATTAAGTAGAAGACCAACTCCCGTCTTCCAACTCCAAAATCGTTATCCACTGAGACACCTAGCTCCCTTTAAAGATGTTAGCATGCTAAGTCAGGCCTGTGATACCTAATTTTATTACTTTTAAATTAAATAAATTTTAGTTGATTAATTAAATTAATTGTATTTTAATTATATTATGAAATCATTTTAGTTAATTATATTTTAACCATTTTTTCAGGTGGCACCGTGGATAGAGCACTGGGCTTGGAATCAGGAAGACTCATCTTCACGAGTTCAAGTCTGGCCTCAGACATTTACTAACTGTGTGACCTTGGGTAAGTCACTTAACCCTGTTTTTTCATCTGTAAAATGAGATGAAGAAGGAAATGGCAAATTATTCCAGTATCTTTTCAAAGAAAACCCCAAATACGGTCACTAAGAGTCAGATCCGACTGAAATGACTAAACAATAGCAAATTATTTTTAATAACATACAAACTTGTATAACACTTTAGAGTTTATAAAACACCTATATATACACATATAATTCAACATAAGCCCTAAAACAACCCTATCATGTAGATAGTACAAGTATTATCCCCATTTTAGAGGGAGGAAATTGAGGCTCAAGCCAGTTAATGACTTGTCCAAGGTCACACACCTAGTAAGTGCTGGATCAAGGACACTGGTTTTCTGAGCCCAAATTCAGTGGGACGGGGTTTTCCCCCTTAAACTATGCCGCTTACACATACGCATTATTAGAGGGTTAGATGATAGCTTTAACAGTATATATTTATTTTCCCCTAACCAGCAAAGAGACCTTTCTCTTTCTCCTTACCTTCTTCCTTCATCATTCCTACTTCCACCTCCATCTCAAAATCTCCCTTAGGGACGTTTCACATCTAGGCCAACAATGATGTCCAGTGAAGTGTTCTGGTTTTTCTTCCCCTTCAGGTTCGTTGGCCCATATTTAGACCAAGTGAGACCCCTGTGACCTCTTGTCTCTTCTAATAGAGACTCCCTGTCCTGGACAGTTCCCCCTGCTCTTGCTCAGTTTGTGTTTCTGAATGCAGGACTAGAGTGATTAACTGCAAAGGAAGCTGCTGGCTGCTGACCTCATCTCCCTCCCTCTGCCAAACCTTCCCAGGCCGACACATCCGATGTTTCCTATGTCCTTCAAGAGGCCTTTCCTGATTTCTCCGGGTGTTAGCGCTCCCCTCATCAGTCCCTGTGTGTTTATTTTATCAATCAATCACCAAGCATTTATAGCACCTCTTATGTCCCAGGCACGCTAACTGCTGGGGACAGAAGTATGAGGAATGAAGCAATCCCTGATCTCAAGGAGCTTACCTGCTAATAGGGGACACAACAAATATACATCACACACAGAATAAATGTAAAAAGATACAAGATAGTTAAATACAGGCAGCTAGATGCAGCAATGGATACAGCACTGGGCCTGGAGTAAAGAAGACTCATCTTTCTGAGTTCAAATCTGGCCTCAGATACTTGCTAGCTGTGTGACCCTGGGCAAGTCACTTAACCTTGTTTGACTCAGTTTCCTCATCTGTAAAATGGGCTGCAAGAAGGAAGTGGCAAACCACTCTAGTATCTTTGCCAAGAAAACCCCAAATAGAGTCACAAAGAGTCAGACATGACTGAAATGACTGAACAACTTAAACACAAGGTAGTCTGAGAGGGAGGGCTCTAGAAGTTGAGAGGATCAGGACTGACTTGATATAGAAAGGGATTCTTAAAAGAAGAGTAGGATTCTATGAGGTAGAGGTCAGGAGACAGGGCATTCTGGCATAGTGCATGATCCATGTAAAGATACAGAATTGAGAAATGGAGTGTCATGTGTAAGTTATAGAGAGAAGATAATTAATAATAATAATAGCTAACATTTATATAGTATTTACTATGTACCAGGTACTATGCTAAGCACTTCACAATTATTATCCCATTTGGTCCTTACAACAACCCTGGGAGGTAGGTGCTATTATTATCATTATTGTACAGCTGAGGAAACTGAGGCAGGCAGTGGTAAAGTGACTTGCCCAGGCTCACACAGCTGATAAGTATCTGAGGCAGGATTTGAACTCAGCTCTTCCTTACTCAAGGCCCAGTGCTCCACTCAGTGCACACCAACCTAGCTACTTAAAGATCAGCTTGACAGGACTGCAGAGTACAGAAGAGAGAGCAGTGTCCAATGCAGCTGGAAAGTTAGATTCAGGCAAGGTGATGAAGAGCTTTAAAAGCCAAACAGAGGTATTGCCATTTTATCCCAGTGACAATAAGAGACCCCTGGGATTGAATAAACGGGCTGATTTGATCAGATCTGTGCTTAAGGGATCACTGTGACAGCAGGGGTACAGAAGGCACCAGAGTGGAAGGAGACTGGAAGGAAATTAGCAGTCTGTTACAATAATATAGGTGAGAGGGAATGGAAACCTGAACTAGGGTATAAGCTGTGTGAGTGGAGAAGAGTCAGATGCAAGAAATGTCTTAAAGGTAGGAAGGCGAGATTTGGCCACTGATTAGCTATATGGGGTGACGGCCAGTGAGAAGTCATAGATAACGTACTTATCTATCCGTGAACTTGTATTCCACCGGTAGAATGGAAGCTCCTTGAGGGCAGACTGTCTCCCTTTTGTTTTTATATCCTCAGGCCTAGAACAGTGTCTGACACCTAGTAGACACTAATTAAAGGCTTGTTGATGGATTGATGCCTGCCTGCCCTCTGCCCTTCTCTTTCCATTTCTCCCCCTTACCCCACCAAGTTTTTCCTGTCCTTGGTTTCCCCAGGTAGTCTGCACGTATAGAAAAGGAGAAGCTTGCACTCACAGCTCCAGGATGAGGACCACATCTGTTCGGTTCTCATAGACATCATGAAGTTTGATGACATTAGGGTGCAGGATCTGCTGCAGAATGTGCACCTCCCTCTCAATCTCCTCCCGCTGTACCCCTCGACGGCTTGCCCGGCTCTGCCGTTTCTTGATGAACTTGGCAGCATACTCGGCCCCGGTGCTCTTCTCCCGGCATTTCTTCACTATGGCAAACTGGCCACTGCAGAAAGACAAATCCACAACACAACAGTGATGTACAATCACAACAATAATAACAATAAAAATAACCAACAGCAATGAACATGTGCAGAATCAGATTTTCTAAGTCATTTGAGTAATGAGAAGTTGTAATTCCAGCTGAGATGCACACAACACCTTTATTACCATTAATATGCTTTTATGTCAGAATTTCAATTAGGCACCCTATGAGATAGGGAAGGACATCTATCCTATTTACTCTCAGTAAAAAATAAGAAAACTGAGGCCCAGAGAAGGTAAGGACGCATAATGAGTTGGTTAATTGCTGAGCCAGGGCTAGGTTCCTGGACTTTGCATTCCTAAACCAAGCTACCTCAAGACCAGAACAAAGGGAGAAGCTGGCAAACCTAGTAATTATTGTAATAGAATAACAGATTAAGAGTTGAAAGGGGCCAAAAAAAAGTCATTTAGTACAACGCCCTTTGTTTGATAGATGCGGAAATAGGCCAAAAAAGCCAAAGTGATTTTTGAAGGTAGAGAGCTGTTTCAGACTAGGTCATGAGTTGTGGGACTTTGGTGGGACATCTTAACATGATGATGATACATGATGAAAAGGAGAAGAGGATCATGGTAAAATATTCTTCTACACTGAGTAGACATCTGTAGTCAGTGATAGGAAAGAAAATTACTCATGCTGGGAGCCCTGGGCTTCACAGGTGGGCTGGCTAATCTCAAAAATGCCTTTCCTTCTGCTCTCTAGCATATGGCTACACCAGGAGAAGAGAGGCATCTGGGAAGACTTTCCCATTATCATTTTACAAGGAAGCAGAGAGGTAGAAAAAGTAGCTTTTGGACCTGCCACTCACTGCAAAGTACCAAGGGGCTTTTGCCGCTGGGTATATGCTAGCCCTGTCACAGACTGCTCTACTCTGTTCTTTCCCCATACTCCCACCAGTGCCCACAGAGCCCTTGGAGCTAGAGAGAATTAGATAGGTGATGAAATCAGGCTTAGAAAATTTAATGAAGAACAACCAAAACATGCTGGTGCAGAGGGCACTACATTTGAAGTCAGAAGATGAGGGTTCACATTCTGACTTTGTACCTTAGTATTTAAGTTACTCCAGTAAAATCTCCTTATTCACTGTGTCTGTCTCTTTCTTCTGTCTGCCTGTCTCTCTCTCTCTCTGCCTCTCTCTCTATCTGTCCATCTGTTTCTCTGTCTGTCTCTCTCTCTCTCTCCCTGTCTCTGTCTCTCTCTCTCTCTAAGGTTCTTCATCTGTTAAATAAGCAGGTTAGGTGAGATAATCTCTAAGCACCCTAAATCCTATGGTCCTATGGTCCTATAAACCAGTCTCCCATGCCTTTTGTACACATTCATTTAAGGTCATTCTGTTGTCCTTCTAGAAGGAGAGGTGGAAAATTGACTTTCCCTTCAGAAACTTGCTCCGGATTGAGAGCTTAAATCCAGAGGAAACCATAAGAACACCCCAGAGTCAGGAAGCATCACAGGAACTAAAATCAATCAACAAATATTTATTGACCTCCTTTCCTGAGCTCATCAAAGTGCTAAGCATAGAATCAAATATAGACTCTGCCCTTGGAGTCAGGAAAACCTGAGTTTAAATCTTGCCAGACACTCATTAACTGTGCCTCCCTGGGCAAGTCATTGACCGCTACAAGTCTCAGTTTCCTTATCTGTAAAATGGCGATCATAACAAACACCTACCTCCCAGGATTCTGATGAGATTCAAATGATACAATATTTGTAAAGGGCTTAGCTCAATGCCTAGCACACGGCAGGCACTATTATTATCATTCTTCTTATTATTATCATTATATAAAGAGGCAATTAGGTAGCATAGCAGATAAAGTATTAGGCCTGGAGTCAGGAAGATCTGAATTCAGATCTAACCTCAGATAATTTCTCTTTGGGACCCTGAGCAAGTCACCTAACCTCAGTTTGCCTCAGTTTTCTCAACTGTAAAATGGAGATAATAATAGTACCCACCCCCCAGGGTTGCTGTGAGGACCAAATGAGATAATATTTGTAAAAGTGCTTAGTAGAATGCCTGGCAAATGGTAGGTGCTTGATAAATGCTTGTTTCCTTCTTTCCAAGTAGATCATTTTGCAAACCTTCCAGTGCCATATTAATGCTGTTATTATTATTATTATTATATTACAAGCAGCTAAGTGGTACAGTGTATAGAGTGCTGGATCTGGAGTCAGGAAGACTCCTCTTTCTGAGTTCCTGTCTGGCCTTAGACACTAGCTGTATGGCCCTGGGCAAATCACTTAACCCTGTTTGCCTCAGTTTCCTCATCTGTAAAATGAGCTAGAGAAGGAAAGGGCAAACCACTCCAGTGTCTTTGCCAAAAAAACTCCAACTGGGGCATGAAGAGTCAAACACAACTGAACAACAATAAATTTTATTATTAATGTAGCACTTTAAGATTTGCAAAGTGCTATATTAATGTTAGCTATTATTACTATTGTAGGCAACTAGGTGACTTAGTTGATAGAATGCTGGGACTGGAGTCAGAAAGACTCAAGTTCCAAATCCAGTCTCAGATACTTACTAGCTGTGTGACCCTGGGTAAGTCACTTAACTTCAGTTAGGTGTGTCTGAATGTACTGGAGAAGGAAATGACAAACCACTCCAGTATCTTTCCCAAGAAAACCTCATAGACGGTATTGGCATGCTATGGTCCACGGAGTCATGAAGAGTCGAACCCAACTAAACAACATTATTATTATTAAAGGACAGAGGCATAAATATAAAATTGGAAAGACACAGTATAAATACATGAAAAGACAGGGAACAATACAAGATAATAATAGTGGTGATGTCATGACATAGTAGGAAGTGGAAGCCCCATGAGTAAGGATTATGGATATTCAGAGAAGGGGAGAGATCCCTGAGGGGAGCAGGGGTTTAGAGAGACTTCATTGAAAGAAACATATTTAAACCCTACATCAACCCTACCACTATTCTCAGTCAGGCCCAATGCTGGCTTTAAACCATCCACTTTGGGATCTGACTCAGACCCAAGCCAAGCAGACCCATTTAGCCCTGAGATGAACATCCCACTGCTTCATCTTGTCATCTCCAGATGCCTGAATCCCAGCATCCCCTCAAAGACTTCCACTTGGCATCACTTATCTCTGTATCTCTCCTGGTGACTAGCACAGGCTTCTACCCAAGGATGGAGTTTAATAAATGTCAGGTGAACTGAATTAAATTGAATTACTTAAAAATGCTTCCTGTCAGGCCCTTCTGGTCAAACCAAACCTCATTCATCATGTCCCAAACATCCCTTCCAATTGGGTGTGCTGCCAAAATCTCACTGATCTTGCCAAAAATCAGGATAGCCTTGCTCCTCTCTCTCTCTCCTAATTTACTAAAAAACAGTAAGCATGTCACATTTAAATAGTGCTTTACACTTTTCACAGATCTCTTCTTTGAGCCTCACAATAATCCTGTGAGGCAGGTAGGGTTGACAATGGGGAAAGTGAGGCTTAGTAAGGCACCTGGTCCAAGCTAATTTGGGGCAAGGCCCAATTCCCCTCCTATTAGTCCTATGCTCTGTCTTCTCCATCACTATTCCACAGACGAGCAAATTTGAACCCAAGTCAGGGAGGCAAGCCGGAGAGATGCGGTGGGGAGAGAGTTTTCTGAGAACAGGATCTCCACCCACAGAGAGTTCAGGTCACCTTGATCCATTTTCCCCTTGTCTGTGTTAAAGGGGAGCAGTGACGTCCCTCTGACGCCGGACTTTTTAAAATTCCCCTTTAAGCTTCTAGAGGAGAGTGAATGTAGTTTGCACTTGCTGGCAGATTTTGTTGTTGTAGAGCAGCAGTTAAATGTGAGAGGTTAATGTTGGTCAGGCTGAGTGCTGGCATCTTCCTATCACACTGAGAGGGAAGTATTTTAAGAGTGGATGACTAATAGAATACCAGACAGACCTGAGACTCATTTAGCATTCTCCTTCTGATGGGAGAGGCATCTCACTTAGAGACCCATCCCTGGCAAGAGCCCCGGCCTGGAACTCCTCCTTCTCACTCCTGGGTCTCATTTAGAATAGGTGGTCACCGAAGGCTACAGGGCTCCAAGCAGGTCAGGTTCATCCTCGCTGTCTCCTGCAATAATCCATGCTCAGGCTCGTTCCTACTGAGACTGATGCCCTAAACGAGAACTTGGAAATCATTCCAAATTCTACTTCCTTTAAAAGCCCAGATCAGGTTTCACACCTCATATTTATATAGGGCTTTTAAGGTTGTTATTGCCGTTGTTCAGTTGTTTCAGTCATGTCCAACTCTTTGTGACCCCATTTTGGAGATTTTCTCTGCAAGATACTGGAGCAGTTTGCCATTTCCTTCTCTAGTTCATTTTTTACAGATGAGGAAACTGAGGCAAACAGGGTTAAGCGACTTGCCCAAGGTCACACAGCTAGGATGTGTCTGAGACCAGACTTGAACTCATGAAGATGAGTTTTCCTGATTCCAAGCCCAGTGCTCTATCTCCTGTGCTGTCCACTTTCAGGTTTACCAAGAGTTTTTTCCTCATAACAAATCCTAGTAGTAAACGTATTACTATTCCCATTATACAGATGAGAAAACTGAGGTTCAGAGAGGTGTCAGAATTTGAATCCTGGCCTTCTGACTCTAAATCCATCACTTTTCCAACTCTACCAGATGACACTTATGAGGAATTCCTTCCAGTCCCCCAGTTTAGCCTTTTATTGTTCTGTTTCCTTACATTTCTTCCCAGATAGACTGTAAGCACCCTGAGGACAGGCACCCTGCCTTAGGTTTATCTTTATTTTCCAACAATGCAGGGCTTCTTTTAAGTCTCAGTGAAAGTTACACTTTCTATAAATTAGCCTTTCCCAGTACTCTTTAATCTTAGTGCATTTCTTCTGAGATTATCTCAAATTTATCCTGCATAAATCTTGCTTGTACATCGTTCTTTCTGGGTGTCTAGGTGGCACAGTGAAAAGAGTGTTGGATCTGGAGTCAAGAAG